GGGGGGGGGGGGGGGGGGGGGGGGGGGGGAGAGGAGCCAAGGAAGAGGGGGAAAAAGGGAGGTAGCTATCGAAACAACTCAGAAAAGCTAGCAAAAGATAAGTATTAGTGGTTATAGAATGAAAAGGAAGGGCGATCGAAGCCCAGCCAAAATTGATCATGCCGGGCAGGGCTGACAAGAAGGTCGGAACTGAAAAGTTATGTATGTCTGTTAACTGGTACGCATTTATACCTTAGTTTTAGCTTCTGGTGTACCTCACTATTAGCTAACATCTACTCTCTGAATAGCGTTATAGTCTGCTTAAACCTAATAACTTAGTAACCAATATTAAATATTAACCATTTTTCATAATGCATGTTCATTAGCGATAAATGAATGCAGCATGATTTAGGTCTATACGCAATACAAAAAATTGGCTGGGGGTGGTTACATCGGATTCAACAATGCTACGTAAGTTCTCATACACTTTTTTCTTGTTACGCTTTTATCAAAGACTGAATTGACTAACTTATGCGCATGAGGAAGATGAGTACCATGTTACTTTTGTAATAAATTTAACGAGTTTGGACGGAAGTATTTTTTATAACGAACAAGACGGAATGGGTTTTGACTTTTGAAAAAACGGGAACACTTAGTGCACAGTAGCTACCTGCTTTTCAATTTAAAACGAATTTTCTATTTCACTTTTCACTTTTTCTTCAGCTTCCACTCAGAATTCTCTTAAAAACAATATCATTCTTACATTTTCTCTATTATTCCGCTTGACTTTCGTAGTGTCTAGAATGACGTTGGCGACATACCAGCAATTGTTTTGATGCTGCTATTCGTGCATTACATATTTTCAGTTTCCTTTCGGAACGCGATTCAGCCGATCGAAATTATGCACTGGCATACTATTTGAAGGAGAATAAATGTTTCCCGGGAAATGTGACACTTCGAGATGAATTGGATTTCTATTTCCAGTTATGCTCACTGGAAACGACATGTGAAAGTGCTGCTGTGATGGCAGCAACATTGGCTAATGGCGGTAAGTTATTGGGGAGAACTGTGTTCTGGTTTTAATAACTCCTGCACATTGTTGCATTTTGATAACTGCTACCTACATGTAAGTTGTTGATGCCAAATACCGAGGGGCAGCAACGGGAAGGGGGGAGGAGGGGAGGGAAGGATGGGGGAGGAGCGGAGAGCAGTTGTGATAAGCTGTGGATCCTGGGCTGCACACCCATATTAAAATCCATCGCCTGTTCGTCACCAAAGACCACTGAAGCGATCCTTCCTCAAAATGTCATCCGCTGTTACACACCCTTCTTGATAACTTATTGATGAAGTCAGTCGACAGTAGTGGTTCTCTGGGTTATTTATTGTGTATCCGACATCTTTTAGTTCTCTAAATTCTAAACTACAAGAATACCATTGACTATGCTGTAGGCAGGCAATCGCGAATACCATTGACTATGCCTAATTACCTGCTAAAAGTTGGCGAAGAAACCGTCATAATAAAGTATACACTACCATGGGAGGGCAGAAGAAAAGGCAGATACACAGTAGAAGTGCTACCAGGTAGTTTCTGATACACAGGGCCAATGGTGCAGTGGTTTAGCACGTTGGATCAGACTATTAAGCCGGATGGTTTGTTTCCCTCCTGATCCACACTGTCTTGTGAAAAACGATCAGTACAGGACTGTAACGATCGGAGGGTGGACGGAGAGGGGTGCATCTGGGGTGAACACTTGTCCAAACTAATAAATAAAGCTTTATTAAAAAGGAAACAAAAACACACCAATGGAAACCAGAATTAAACCACAACCGCTGACGAACAAGCTGCCGCCGCACAATTCTTGTGGCACAGAAACAATCAACATTTCATTTCTAATCACA